TTGGACTCATTTCCTTAGATTTGTGTTTGTTCTATTTATGTTAGTTTCAGGTAAGAATACAAAGAGATGTTTTTTTTGTTGAAGACAGTAATGTGCATGCCAACAAATCAATTCAAGACCCAGGCAAGTACAAGCTTTACAAAAATAAAAAACAACATTGGAAACTCCTTGACAGGGAAATAAAGGTGATCCTGATGGAAAGACAGACTAATTGTTCTGTTTAATGAAGGGTTACAAAACCAAGGTGACATTTGTGAAAGCAGACAGGAGCGAGACACGGAAAACAGAGACAGGAACAGAACATGCTGAATTTTATAGATGGTACGTAGGTAGTGTGTAGTGATTTTTACAGGTAAAAATTACAAAGATAGAACGGAATAATTAAAAGACTTTAAAATTAAAACAAGAGAGAATCAAATTAAACGAATGATTAAAAACAGTAACATGTCAAAAAAATCTTAATGAAACACACACTTAGATGTGAATATCTTACGCAGGTTTTTAAATGAGTCAAAACTCTTCAAGTCAGTAATACAGGAAAAAGTTTGACCTAGTATGGCCCTGAAATTTACAGGGAAATGATTCAAAATTAATATGGTAACCAGCACAAAGACTTTATAACTGGACTGACGTGAAATCCTCTTTTTGGTCCAGTCAAGAGTCTCGCTGCAGAGTTTTGGATCAACTGTAGGAAGTGGAGGACTTTCTTATCGATGAATGTGGAAAATGTGTCTCAACACTCTTGACACGAGGAGATAAAGACATGAATAATCATCTCAAATTCCTGTTTCAACACCAACCTTCTTCATTTGAATATATTTCTCAAATGATCTCTTCTCAGAGTTCAGTTGAGGGAGTTACTTTTTCTATTCACTTTGGAAATTTGCTTTAGGCATTCAGGTAAATCTAGACAGCTTAAAGACTAGTGAAAATAAATATAATGTGTATTAAAGTGATGGAGGATGTTATGAAAGTTATTAATAGTCTGCCCAAGAGGTATACATAACAAAGGAAGTGGGCCTAAAGCATGGCCTTGTGGTACCCCACATTATTAGAGCAGCAGATTATGAAATTATATGGTTTACATGAACACTAAAGTTTCTGTTTTAAAAGTTAAGATCTAAACCGCAAAAACGGCTCTGGACAACCTCACCAAGATATGAAGTCTGTTCATTTAGATGATGTAATGACTGAGTGTCAAAGGTCTAACAAAACTAAAGCAATAAATTCCCAAGTGTGTCGCGTCACTGGACACTTTTAGGCAAAACTGTTTCTGTTTAGCGCATTTTACAAAATAAAAAAAAAAACAAAAAAATTAAATTGCTTTTTATCAACGATTTCATGTTGCTCCAAAAAAGAAATCAGTTGGCCAGCCTCAGTTTCTTAAAAGATTTTGGAAAATAAAAGGAAATTTAGAAATGATCCCCGTTTTATTTGGCCATGAGGAGTTAGCTGGATTTCTTAAAAAATGTATTTGACAACAGTGTGTTTAAATGAAGAGGGGACAGAACCATTTCTAAATACTCTTCAGCCATATGATACCACTGTGCTGAAAAGGTACAAGTATTAGAGAAGTACAATTATATTTGGGAAAGAGATGGATAAATGGAAGGATCGGGAATGGGTGAAGGTGAAACATTAGTTCTGATCTGCATAATTTGAGTTTTAATGTCAGGAATCAAGTCAAGTTGTGAAAAGATGCCTGTAACGGTGAGTACTGTATCAAATTTCTTGGCAGTCCATCTTGTAAGCTTTGATATTCAAGGTGAAACTAACGCATCCTCTAAAATGCAGAATTTCAGAGGATGCGTTATGTGGGATTTATAAGCGTGATTTAGTAAAAATTCATAAAAACCAATGTACTTGTACAACGCTGGCATTAAACAGAACAGGAGAAAACAAAGGTACACAGAATTTAAAGGGACAGTATTATGCAGAATCAACTTTTTTGACATTTTATATTATTCTCTCATCAAAAACATTCCTGGAGTGTTGCCTTGACTCCTTCATGCATGTTTGAGAAATCCTTTAATCTCCAGTGGCAACCATTCAGCTGTGCAAAACGCCTGGTGAGACCTAGCTCCGCCTTCGAGTCTCAGCTCCTCCTCGGAGCTTCAGCTTCCATGCTGCTGCCTCACAGAGCTTTTGCACTCAGCTCCTTCAGACTAGCCAGCAGCAATTAGCAGACACCTGGAGGGACTGCACAGCTGAGCTCATTATAGGAGCTTCTGATCAGAGCAATGCTGGTAAAAACATTGTTAAAGTGTTAATAGAGGAGCGATGTTGTGATGACTTCCTGAAGGAGGAGTCTCTGATAGAGCAGGAGTTTTTAAAGAGACAGAGGACCAATTTCAAGGCGTTAAATTGCAAAATCAAATTTCTTTTAAGTAACAACTGAAGGAAACATAGTTACTTGCTTATGTTATAAAATACCCCTTTGTGTGTGGAAAACCCATAATAATGTCCCTTTGAAATGTCTTTTTTGTTTCATCTAATTTCTACTTGATGCCAGTAGAAAGATTAAAACCTTATTCTTGTAATGAATGACTGAAATCTAAATGTAACGCAGTATGAAACGGATCAATGCAAATGCCACAAAGTGAGAATTCGAAGGCTGCTTTTCCCTGGGTTTGTGTGTCTGGGCTGCCTTCGCGCAGCCCTCCAACTGTTCCCACCACGCTGTGTGAATAGGCTCAGTCATTACTGTGCTTCTTCTGAGCTGTCTGCAGGGTAAAATGAGACAACAGTCAAGATTTCCAACATGGGAGCCTAAATCATTTACGCAGCATGGAGCAAGTGTGCCGAAATGAGGCTGGTGATGATGCCGTCCTGCAGCAGCAGCAGGTGGTACTGTAAATGGAAGAGGAGACGACAGATAAACTCATTATGCTGGAGGAGAATGTTGTCTTTATGCTCACTGGAACGGCTTGGAATTGTCTTTGAAAATGTTCCCCTGGCGCTGATAAAAAAGGGTAAATACTTCTTTGAATAAAGGGAGTTTAGTTGTTTTTGCTCAGAGCGGAGCATGGCTGCAGAAGGACAGGCTGGGGAACGGCGTCGTGTCTTTGCAAAGGGCTTTTGGGGTGGTATTTGTTGTGAATTGGCACTACTGAGCCGAATTGAATTGAAGCTCATTTAAGTGGATTTGTGTTTGAATACTGCAGGCTTCTGTCATGCTAAGCTGTTGGAGCTCAGTATGGTTTATAGTTCTGTGCTTACTGCAGTTTTTTAAATGTCACAGACATAGTTCCTTTAAAATTCCATAATCTGAATTTTACTATTGTATTTTAACATCAAATTGCATATTTTTCTACAGTGCTTTATTTGATATATTGCTAGGATATGAAAAGACATATTCAGTAAATTAGAATTTTAACAAAAAGTTCATTTATTTCAGTAACTCAATTCACTCAGTGCAATACATTATAAAGATTAATTGCATGCAGACTAATTTTTCAAACCTTTATTTATGTTGCTAAAGAGTTTCAGCTTACAGCTAATAGAACAAAATTTAAAAGGAGGATATAAAACTAAAAAGTCTAAGATAGAAGCAATTTATTTCATTCAAATGCAGTTTTTGACATAACAAACTCAATATCTAAACATAATTCCACACGAAATCCAAGTAAAGGCAATTTGAAAAAGATGTTGTGGCCTGTATTCAAAGTGAACAGGCAGGAAACAGGAAGACAGAAGAGGGGGAAAACATGCAGTAAAGGTCTCAAGGTTAAAGCAAACCCTGCATTGAGGACTAATCGCCTGTTTATATGAAGTATACCAATCTCTGTCCTCAAATTTTACATTTAAATACAGTTTGCATCACGCTCTGCAAAGCATGTTTCCTTTTTCCACATCTTTAAATAGTTGAAAAATTCTGTTTGCTTCTGACCAACTTATTATTATAGTTTGTACATTTTATCTATATTCTTCTCACTTGCAGTCATAATATAAATCCTTTTTTTTTTATTAATTATTGGCACTAAAGGGCCTCCACATTTCCCACAACGATGTGTATTTTCTTGAAACGTTTCACATTCCAGTAGAGCGTAAATGTCACGGGGCGGTGCTACGTTCACTGGCCCCTCCCCCTTAAACCACGAGGCTCTAGTGTTGACAGGCCGATAACCGCCTATAGGCACTCAGCATCCAGCTGGCTGCCAGACAAAGACTGCTCTCTCGTCCTACCGGCTGAACTATCGCCAGAAAACGCCTCCTTTTTGACGTTAATAGCTTCTAAAAGCTTTATTTTAAAGTGTGTCGAACTAGATAAAGCGTCCGTTCGGACCTTTTTTCCGCCTTGTAGTGCAGGACAAACCAACCAGACTCCGCCTTCGCTTAATTTGTCAACAAAGGGGTTTGACAAGCTCGGAAAGCCCTGCCCCCATGTTTCCATAAAAGGATGATTTGGGTATACACGGCCAACAATCAAACCCTTGCTAACCTTTTCTTTTCACCATCCACTTCATATGGTGCGTTGACTTCCTCCGGCGCTGTGAAAGCGGAGCTATGATGGCGGAGCGCGTGCAGCAGCCCCCGGCCAAGCGGCTCTGCTGTCGGCCGGGCTTCGGTGCAACATGTAGGCAAGGCCAGCGGGCCGCTGGGGCTCTGTGCGGCGGCTCGGCTGCCACCCAGGGCGAGTCGAGTCGAACCCAGAGCCCGGAGTCTCTCCTGGACATCGCGGCGAGAAGAGTCGCGGAGAAGTGGCCGTTTCAGCGGGTGGAGGAGCGCTTCGAGCGGATCCCGGAGCCCGTTCAGAGACGGATAGTGTACTGGTCCTTCCCGAGGAGCGAACGGGAAATCTGCATGTACTCGTCGTTCAACACCGGCGGCGGGGAGGAGGTCGGAAGTGGCGGCGAGAGCAGCGACGAGACGCGGCTGCCGTTCCGACGCGGCATCGCTCTACTGGAGAGCGGCTGTGTTGACAACGTACTGCAAGTCGGTGAGTAGGGGAGACGAGACCGGGCGTAAAAGTGTTGGGAAATCAACACCCCTTACAAAAGGAAACAATAGAATGACCACAGCAGTGGTGATAAGGTTTAGATAAAGTGACAACAAAAGGGAGACAAAGGGGCTTTAAATCGACTGAGCGCGTGAATGGGAATGTATGACTGGGGCATTTAAATCCTGTTTAGTTCAGGTCCCGTGGGAATTTAAAAAGCTTCGAAACCTTCATTATATTTCCCAGAACTTACTGTGAAACTTTGTCAGAATGATAAAAAAAATATATGTATCTCTGATTTACTGTAGGTGACACAAAACATGTTAAGCGATTCATAGCGAAAGCGTCCAGTGTGCTTCACGGTTTGTTTTAGTTTCGCACACATTTCAGTCGGACCTGCGAAATCAGTTTTAGACTATTATAACTATTGAGTAATAAGGGAAGTGTGCAGGGTGGGTCTCAACTGACGCGTTACATTTCAATGACTTGTTCTGTGTGTTCGGCGATAATTAAAAAAAATGCATTGTTGCTCCGTCAGCACGGGAGGAGTTTGATCAGCAGACACGGAGAGATACAGACCAGCGGAGAAGTCAAATATGCTCTGTTTGTGTTGTAAAATTAGATCCGGGGAAGTGCCTGGAATGTTTGTAGCTCTGAAGTAAACGTCCTCTCCTTCCTAAAAGGAGGGGGGATATGAGAACAAGCCCCGGGGGTTATCATATGTCTGCTTGTTCATACCTCACTGACAGCGTGTGGAACAGGAACAGACACCTGTGTGCTTGTTTGACAACTGCAGGCGTTCAGTGGCATGAATCAGAGCGTTCTTTGTGTGTCACCCCCCCTCCTCCTAAAAGAAACCGTGGAAGTTGTGTTTTTCTTTCTTGTTTTTTTTTTTTTTCACCAAATGATTAATGGTGATACAAACACAGCTCTGTCATAAAGCTGTGAGGATTTCACAAAAAAGCAATTTTAAAAAGGGAATAAAACAAAAACTTAATTCGGTTTTCTGTCTATCTGGTTTGATGGCATCAGGAGAGATGGGCTAAGGCGAGCTGGCTAACTGAAACATTTCACAGATGCACCAACCAAATCAGAAGTCATCCACTTTTCTCCCAAATCGCCTCCAATCAGCAGTTCAAATAATATTTTTTCCTATCCATTAAACACACTAAGACCAAGAACTTTATTTTTATTTAATTTTATTTTCCCTGACACTTTTTATTTTCCTTGGCACTGATACAGCCAATCAGCGCCAAGGAAAATAAATGGCACTTCTGCTGCTTTGGAAACGCCAGCCAATCGCACTAAAAGTATGATTACATCTAGGTATTTTAGCTTCCCAACCTGCCATTTTAAATTTTTTTACTAAGAATATTTTAGATAAATACCGTGAAAAAAATATCCGCAAATAGGCAGATGTTTTGTAAATTTCAATTTACGTTCCATGGAAAAATATCACAAGGGAATGAATTTGGGCCTTCTGTGATGTCATCAGAGGCATGTGCACATGGAAGCTGATTTATTTATTTATTTGTTCCTGCCAGTAAATTTTTTATTTTAATCACAATTTACAACAGAAAACAGAAAAGCTGATGGTATGCTGTTCTTTAGGTGACAAAATACAAAATAAAGTTTGTGTACTTTTTTTTTAACATGTCTCTTTGAAGGAGACCTTTCGGACTTTAACACCCCAGCCTATGAACATATTAACAACAATAATTTTTTTTAAAATTATGAGTGTTTTCTGTCCCCCTTCCCCACATTTATGTGTTTATTTGTGTATTTCAAGCTCCCTGTTGGCTTCAACCAAACAAAAGCAGCGATTCATTCTCATTGTTAGTAGAAATCATTTGGGTTGAGGAACTGTTTTTTGTGAAGTTAGGGCCCTTCACTGCTCTTTCAATCGGGCAACGATTCACACCAATCCTATCACCAGTTGGTGAGTCTGAAATCGTTGCCATGGAGCCAATATCTAGCGCTGATGGAGACGGTTGTGGCTTTACAGCTGCTGCCCTTGGGGGGTTTGATTGTGTCTCCGTGTGTCACCTGTGGGTTCCCCAGACTCGGGAACACCTTTTCACACCAGGCTGTAATCCCATTACTCCACATGCTTCATTTGAATGGTAATACGGTTTGATTTCTAGGACTTTAACTCGTCACCCCCAAAACAAGCCACCCGTGTGCTGTGGGAGTTTGACTCTGGTGGTTGGGTATCCTTGAGTAAAAATACATCAGTTTGAAAGTATCAACATGAAGATTATGAAATAAAACACTTTTATTTCAAATGGAAAAACAACAATAATTTCTGATGCTGCTATAATGATCTGAGACTTTGGTTATAATACTAATCTTACATGCTACTCTGTTATTTTGATTTTGATGCGTAAACGTACGGATAGATGTCGAAAAGGCAGCTTTATTGCTTAACAGTTTTTAATTAATAATGAATATTACCTTTTTGTATAGATAACATCACATCCAGTTCAATATTTAAATAATGTATTTTTTAAAAATTGTGTTTTCACAAACACAGTAAAAGTTTACAGGGATACACGATATATCGGCACCAACATCGGTATCGGCCGATATTTGTACATTTTTAACGTATCAGTGTCGGTCCAATTAAATTAAACTGTGGCCGATATGAACAACCGATAATTATTTTGATCTAATCCTAGTTTTTCCCCAAAGGTATCGAAATGTTAGTGAAATATATATAATATCGATTATCGGCTGTAATAGCAATATTAATATCAGATATCGATATTAGCCCAAATTTTTGCATTGTTACATCCATAAAAGTTTAATAAATTTCAAACTCTGTGATCAGTAACAAGTGGGCTTCTCTTTGGGCTTGGCAGCAAACTGTCATTGTGACATAATTTCAAGCTCTACTTCCTGTGTTATTTCAAAGTAAGAGTTTCAAGCAAGCTTAAAGCTCTTCATATCGGGACAATAACATTAGCTTAGATTAAAAGTACTTCAGAAAACAGACTTCATTTGAACAAGAAATGCCATGATAGTTTAATGCTCTAGAGTTCCTTTCTTGATAGCGAGCGTATCGGCCAATCAGTATCAGTTACTAAACCTCAGGTATTGGTATCAGAAGTGAAAAAAGTGGATCGGTTCATCCCTACTTCTGTGTTGATCCTAAAACTGCCACTGTGCATGTCCATGAACATTGGCTTGTATTCAGGTGTTTGAACTATTAAAATGGGGAGTTTAAACAGTTTCTAGAGGGAATCTCAAGTATTCACAGATTTCAGCTATTCCTTAAACCCCCGCAAATACTGGAAGTCCAGAGTATATTTGCAATCCCAGTAATGTCAGTGTATTATCTCAGCAGGTTCAAGGACTCTCCCTGGCCTTGATTGCTACATCTACTTTAGATGTTAATGCCTGAGCCAACAGTGATTGGTCAGGACGTCTGGATAATGGAAAGGAAAATAGAGGAGCGATGAAAATCGATCTCATCAACACAAATATTCCGCAGCAACATCACAGCAGCATATATTTCCAAACGCCAGTATTCCCAGATAGAGCGGGGAAATGTGTGCAAAAGGTCTGAAACTAAATCTGGCCTCCATCCGTCTTCCGAAGAGCAACAACAGTAGTCCACAAACACAGGGAGGGTTTCTTGGCTTTATTGGACTCCAGCCTGGAATTTGCTGGAATAACAGAGCCGGGGAGTGATAAATAAAAGATGTAATCTCCCCACGTGTGGGCCGCACCGGAGGAGGGAGGTTTTTCTCACAGCGGACCTTGAGGAAATGAACTGGCGCACACACACGTGCTGCAAGCTCCACCAGCTCCACGAGTCCCACAACAAACGCGCCCTGTGAAATCGTCGCTCAATCCCGTTTTGTTCCCCCGGCGATAGCCGCCATGACAGTCTGTAAACCCTGTTGTCGAATTCTGAGCAGGAAGTGTGCTGGGTTTTAAATGAACTTTGGAGTAAAGCTAGCTTGTCCGTTGCCTTCCTGTGCAATTCAACTCGAAAGAAATTCTCGCTTTCTTCCCTCGACTCGGATTTTCTCCGGTATATTTTTATTTGATTTGATTAAATCCTTTTTACCAGGCCAGTGAGCGAACAGAACGAAAAGTTGTGAACGATGACGCTGACTTCTGCGCTGTTTTAGATTTGTAGATTTAGCAATGGCGGCTGAGGAAGTGAACGAAGCCGTTCAGTCCGTTTTGGCCACACCTTCAAATCGTGGCTTAACGTTTAACATCCGGCTAGTTTGGCGTTTCTGACGTTTATGTAAAACCTCAACAGACTCCACGCCTTCAGGAAACAATAATTTCTCCACAGCTGAGAGCCCAGACCCTCTGGACAGAGCAAAGCGTAGAACAAGAGGCTGGTTTTTTACAGGATTTACTTCTAAACCTTTGGGTTAAGAGGTTTTTCACAGCGATGTTCCACAGTTCAGATGTTAGATGAAAACCTCAAGTTTGGATCAAAAATATTTAAAAAATTGCCCCATAAATAAGGTAATTATTCTATTATTCCCTTGTAAAAGTTGTATTTGAATGAGCTAAGATAAGAAGTTGTTTTCTTGTTTCTTTACAAACGAACTCAGCTGGTGAGATGCCGTCGCCGCTATAGTTTCGTGCTTTTTGTTTGATGCAGGTTGCATTCAGGGTCACAAAGAAGAAACACATCCTGTGTTTTTCAGAGCATCACAGGGTAAAATCTGCAACCAATCAAGCAGAGGGGATTCAGAACGACGACTTTCTGTGGCTCGACACTTTTATTCTAACCGTTCCAAACAAAGCGTCAGTGGTAAAAGTATTCACACCTCTTGATCGTTTTCACATTTTTCTTTCAGCGTTGTCTTTTGGATTCTGGGTAAAAGACCAACACAAAGAAGCAGCACACTGTTGTGTTGTGGCGCGACAATTTAAAAGTCAAATCATTTTAGAGCTTTAAAGTTATTCACTAGTCAGTCTTATGAAAATATCGTAGATATGTTTATGTAAATTTTAATGCCGGTCTAAAT